CCGCCTCGCGGCGAGCAGTTCTGACAAACATGTCCGAGTTTATGACCAGGCGGGCTCGGTAGGGCTCGGTGGCCGGTTTCTTTCGTATTGTGCCACGTGGCTGGTGCTTTCAGCGCTGTCTTGAAGCATAATTAATTTGTATTCTGACGTGGCTTCATCAGGATTCTCTATTGCTTCTTGTCTACGGGGTCATGTACTTGCATCAAAAGTCTCACGCCGGTCAGCGTGGATGCGCTTGTGTTTGCCATCTGTCATTCTGGCGTAACAGAGTGCCGCAAACTGCCAGGAAAATGCGTGGCTTCCTTGGGATTCGGGACATGCCGCCTGGCTGCAAGGGTGGGGCTACCAAGCTGTGGCCACGGGTCAGTGGGGCGCTGAGGCACGGCGCCAGGACCTGCGGCGATGCGGACAGTACCATCAAGTCCGTGGCCTGGGCGCCCGACGGCCGCCTCGCGGCGTGCAGTTCCAAAAAAGTCCAAGTTTATGACCAGGCGGGCTCGGTAGGGCTCGGTGGCTGGTTTCTTTCGTATTGTGCCGCGTCGCTGGTGCTTTCGTGCCTTCCTAGATGTTAGCCTTCTTGTTGCTGGCCATTGACCGCTCCCCTTCACTATGAAACTTTAGAGCGTCGGCTCAGTCCACCGACATTGCACCTATGCGTGTCCTTCAAGTTCCACTGCGTGAAGCCGAGGCAGGGTTTGCATTACAACGTCATGTCCCCCCGAGTTGCCTTCATTTTCGTGCACTTCCCATCACTTCCCCTTTATTGTCGCTCTACTACCCCTTCAAATCCCATACGTTTCCCCTTTATTTCCCCTTCATTTCCTTTTTATGCCCCGTCATTTGGCCCCTTCATTTCCTTGCAATTTCCCCTTTGTTTCCCGTCCCTGCACTTCACCGTCATTTCCCCTCCCTCATGTCCGTTGTATTTTCCGAGCATTTCCCTTTCATGTCCCCTTGATTTCCCCGAATTCCCCTCCCCCTTCAGTGCTTCCCTGCACATTTCCGCACATGTCCCCTTTTGTAGCTTCATTTCGCGTTCGTTCCTTCTTCACTTCCCACTTCCCCGTCACTTTAATGGTTTCTCCAAAAGGATGCCAAACAAACGGTGTTTTTCAGCCTGAAGGACAGTAGTTTTCAACTTTTTCGCAGAAAAACAGCGGAAAACACTCAATTTTTTCGGCAAGAGGAGGCGGAAGACCCGAGCCGTCAGAGGGATTTGAGCCTGAGACCCCTGCATTTTCCGCACCAGCTCGGAAGATGGAACGTCATCAGATTGCTGCGGGTACGTTCCCACCCCCCCCCGCCCGTATCAGACGTGTCCAGGGGAGAGGCAGCGGGGGTGGGTTAACCTCTCTCCTCTCTTAGATGCCTGACATTCCGAACAACGTCGGCAACTTTACATGGATTGCGAAAGCGGACCCTGGGATTAAAGGCAACGGATTTCAGACTGATGCAAGCGCTGCACAGTGCTTGCAGTTCTGCGATTGGCCCCGAAGTTCCTGAAGGTCCGATGTGCTGATGAGCAGGCTTTACACGGTGCCTTGCTGGTTGGTTTGGGCAAGATCTGGAGGGATATGTCACAAAAATCATCAGGATTCCCTAAAAACATCGTGTTTTCAGCACGATCGATACTTTTCAGGCCAAACGGCCATGCTTGCAGACTCCAAACGGGCCTACTCTGGAAACATGGGCACTGGCGAAGACTTGTGTTGGAGGTATATTATGTGCAGGCATGGCCCACATATGACCCGTGAACGCTCCATTGCCGCATGGTATGTCAATTTATGTAGGGTGCCCCGTGTTTTTCTTTAAAACATGGTGTGGTCAGAATCATGGTGTTTCCAGAACCCGTGGTAACCCTTGGGATATATGGGCTCCCGGGACAATTATCACCAAGGTTGTTATTTCCCTCTTGACGCTGCCATTCAAATTTGGTATGCGCATATAGCAGGGGTTCTGAGCCAACTTTTCAAAAAGCCGGCACCCCCAGCGCTTCTTTGCAGGTTTTCTGAAGGGTTCCCGAGCGTGCCCTGGATAGTTGCTTCAAGGATTGGAAAAAGGATGGCTTTTTCAGACTGTGATTGTGATGTGGCTGCAAAAGAAGAGTTCGGCCGAGTAATTTATTGTTACAGAACCAGTTGTGTTTGCGGGTATGACATGTTCAGTGGTTTTGGGTCTCCTGGCCATGGATCGGTGGGGCGCTGCTGCTCGGCGCCAGGACCTGCGGCTCTCACACACCCTCGCCGATGCGGACTTTTGGTGGCCTGGGCGCCCGACGGCCGCCTCGCATGGCGGGGGATTTTGACACAAGAGTCCTAGTTTATGACCAGGCGGGCTCGGTAGGGCTCGGTGGCTGGTTTCTTTTGTATTGTGCCACGTCGCTGGTGCTTTCATGCCTTCCTAGATGTTCAGAGCCTTGTTGCTGCTGGCCATTGGCTGTTAGCAATCCCCTTTAATATGAAACTACAAGGATTGCTAAAGAGGACCCTGCCTGAGTTTAAGGGCAACGACTTTGTCATGCAAACGCTGCAGTGCGGCGGTGTTGGCCCCGAAGTTCCTGAAGGTTCGATGTGCTGATGAACAGGCTTTACACGGTGCTTTGCTGGGTGGTTTCAGGAATTTCTGGATCAAGGGTTGCAGCGCAACCTGTGTTTGCACAATTTTGCACCTAGCTTTTCAATTTCCAGGTTCTGCCAGACCAACCGTTGCCCCTGGCGCTGCTGCACGGCGCCAGGACCTGCGGCTCTCACACACCCTCGCCGATGCGGACTTTTGGTGGTCCGTGGCCTGGGCGCCCGACGGCCGCCTCGCGGCGGGCAGTTCTGACGGAAAAGTCCGAGTTCATGACCAGGCGGGCTCGGTAGGGCTCGGTGGCTGGTTTCTTTCGTATTGTGCCACGTCGCTGGTGCTTTCATGTCTTCCTAGATGTTCAGAGCCTTGTTGCTGCTGGCCATTGGCTGTTAGCAATCCCCTTTAATATGAAACTGCAATGATTGCTCAAGCGGACCCTGGGTTTAAAGGCAACGGATTTCGGACTGATGCGAACACTGCGCAGCGTTTGCAGTTCTGTGGTATCGGCCCCGAAGTTCCTGAAGGTTCGATGTGCTGATGAGCAGGCTTTACACGGTGCTTTCCTGGGTGGTTTCAGGAATTTCTGGATCAAGGGTTGCAGCGCAACCTGTGTTTGCACAATTTTGCACCTAGCTTTTCACTTTCCAGGTTCTGCCAGACCAACCGTTGCCCCTGGCGCTGCTGCACGGCGCCAGGACCTGCGGCTCTCACACACCCTCGCCGATGCGGACCATTGGATCTGTTCGCTCTCACACACCCTTGCCGATGCGGACCATTGGATCTGGTCCGTGGCCTGGGCGTCCGACGGCCGCCTCGCGGCGGGCAGTTCTGACGGAAAAGTCCGAGTCTACAAGGCCGGAGGCTCGAGGGGGCGCTGTGCAATGTTTTTCTAGTTTAATGTGCCCTGAGGCTGCCTCATTTGCCGACCAGCTTTGAAGCCTATTTCTTGTTCTCGAATTTTGGGATTTGGCTGGCCGTGGGCTCTCACTGGCATCTTTTTCGCCCATTGATTATTGTTTGCGTGCGCACGGACATGTTTGCTTCTTCCGCTTTCGTCCTGCTTGGGAATGCAACTAATGCGGGTCATCAGTTTTCCTTAGTTAAAGGTTCTGCCGACTTACAGCGCCGCTGTTGCCAAGCCTTGGACGCGCGGCCTGCGATCGCATTTGGTTGATTTTGCTGGTTTTCAGCTGGAGAGAAGATTAACGGCAAGTTGCTGTCGACATCACCTGCCAGGAGATGTACTACAACCCGCTGAAGCAAGGGTAGTTGGAAGGAGTGACCCTGCATCGATTTCACAACGTTTCGCCTGCGGGGCGGACCGCCTCCCCCTTCAAATGTTGAAGAGGCAGTGGTTTTTTGCGAAACATTTTGCGGCCTGTTGATACAGCAATGAAATAAGGTTGTTGCGACGTCTCTGATGCTTCAGGCGAAACAACAGCTTGGCCAGCCAACTGGGGCTAGTGATCTGCCTGGACGGTTTGCTTCCACACAGGGCATTTTCTAAAGAATGGAGGGCGCATGATGTCATGAATCGGTGCGTGTGGGAGTGCAGTTCGGAGTTTCCTTTTTTTTTTGGGGGGGGGAGGGGAGACTGTTCCAGTGTCAGCGCCCAGCTTCTCCAGTACGTGTTCACGCCTCTCTGTTGCAAACTCAACCAGCCGATTGGCATATTCACCTTGAAGGGCCGGCAAAGTCCTGACAGCTGCCTTGAGCTGAAGAGATGTCCCTTCAAACCAGGGGTGCTGTGGATGGTTACAAACTCCCTTGAAGCACCAGTTCGGATGGATGGAACCCGAAAAATACTGGGACGCCCAATTGGTGCGACAGGATTTTGTCCAACGCCATTGCTGGTTTAAGGTGTAGTGCAGTGTCACAGTGTGTTGCACAAATGGCGACTAGCATCCAACGCTGGTGACCAATCAGCGTGATGCTGGCATGTCGCCTCCGTTTTGTCAGCTGGATTGGCATGAGGAGAGCGCAGGGGAAAATGAGCATGGCCAGTTTGCCACCCAACTCCCCGACCGATTCTGCCAGGTTGGCAACTGATGCCTGCCGGTCGATTCAGCTCATTTTCGTGGTTGTTGACATTGTGCCGGAGAGTTTCTGCTAGCCTTTGTTATGGAACTGTGTCGCCAAGGTACTTGTCAGGGGATAGGCCTGTCAAGCGCAAAGATGCAACTTCAAAATTTGAGAAGACCCTGGTGTCATCCATCAGACTCTCAACAACTGCTTCTCCAATTTCCAAAACCCCAAGTGCTATCCAGAAAGCAGTTGAGGGGTGGATGGCCACCCTTTTGTCAGCCCTACGCATACCTGCCCACCAGGCCAGGAAAGCAAAACCAGGCTGTGTAAGCAGTATGGTTCCAAACGTGTTTCAACAGGTGCCATAGCCTTAATTACGTCAACTTCCTTCGCTGCCACCCCAGGCCGTGTTGCCACAGCTGACTCCGGCAAGCGCGCGGAGCGAAGCGCAGGCGGAGGGTTTGGCCGGGTCAAATAAGGGGCTGGTTTTTCAGAAGGAACCCCGAAGGAATTCAACAGGTGAGGAAGCCAAGATGAAACCAACGTCACGAGTTGGCCTCTTTCAGGGCGAGCTTCGTAGACTCTGTTTTTGGTTGGGCGAGGCATGACATTAGCAACATGAAGTAGTTTCGATGCCTGGTAAGGGTCATTTTACTGGCCCAATTGACGTCAGATACTGCGCAATTTCTCACTTTGCAACTGATGCTTGGGGGGGGGGGGGGCTGGAAGGGCCCGCCTTCTGTTGCCAAGGCAGGCAGAACATGAAACACTATTTTCAAGCATTTGGGTTGGTGCGTGTCTCGATTTGAGGCGTTGGCCCTGTTGGCAGCCCAACTAGCACTCCAATTTGCACTAGTTTGGCACCCCTGCTTCTGCCTCATTGAATCATCGAGAAGCAGTGGTTTGCGTTCTTGCGTTCTTGCGTGCTCGCTTTCTCGCTTGCTTGCTCGCTCGCTCGCTCGCTCCCTCGCTTGCTTGCTTGCTTGCTTGCTTGCTTGCTTGCTTGCTTGCTTGCTTGCTTGCTTGCTTGCTTATTGTTCATCTAAGGCCGGTCGAATCTAGGGCTGATGCCTGATGTTTTTTTAATGTCAAGGGAGTCCCTGTGCAGTGGTTGTTTCCTTTCCAGGGGAACCGCGACCTCTGATTAATGCCATCTTTGGATTAATCCAAGGACGGCGCTCGTGAGGGGACAATCCCCCAATCGCTCCATTTTATGGGGATCCCTCTGGCTGGCATTGTCCTCCGATTGAATTCGAAATCACATTGCCTTTTTCCCACAATCATGAAAGCTGACAAGAGGATTTTGGAAGTCGACCTTCTTTTGAAAAGCCCTCTCTGTTCTTCGATGATTGGAAAGAGGGTCTTGCACAGCGCCAGGTGGAAGAAGAGACATGGAACAACTCCAGGGCCGAGGCCAGTCACTTGCACAGGGTGATTGCAAACACGTGTTGAAGAATGCGCTCCGACATTTCCATGAACATCTATGAGCCAACTTTTTGGGCCGCTGGGGTACTTTTGCAACGGACGCTGAAACCAACGATTGGAGGAGGCCTGGTTTTGGCTCATTTGCGCAAGGCCCCGCTACACAAGTTGCTACTGTAACGTAGAATGGGTGCCTTAGTTTGTTTCGTTTGGCCAACCGGGTTAAGATGTGGGTGGTTCAATGGCAAGGGTGCTGCCAACTCCAGTTCAGTCTTGCCTGACCAAGCCTTGATTCATCCCCACCTCGCCCAATAAAAGTATTGTGTGTGTGTGTGTGCGACCGTTTGCTTTGTTACAGGCTGCGGCTTACAGCAAGACATGTATCCTGGGAGTGGCAAACTGTGTTTAAGCGCTCTTCTTTGGTTCGGTGCCAAGCATCCATAACGCAGTTCGAAGATGCGCTCCCAGCCGCGTGAGCCATGGCAAGAAACCGGGGGTCTTTTCAGGGGACTGGCCGTCCAAACAGGCATGATGGAATGTTGATTGATGCATGGCGTCGCAGAGGTGCGGGTTGCAGCATGAGTTTCGCCTCGCCATGGATGTGGATGTTCACTTGGTAAAAGGCAAACGGCATCATAAAGTATCCATTTGTGGGAGAGGTTTCTCCAAGTAATTATCCTTTGGGAAGGGGTTTGCGTTCGCAATCGTCTTGTTTTTTGAGAGTACCTCTTTGAGGGAACCACGGAATTTCATAATTTCCCTCTGGCAAGGATGCATTGTTTTCATTTAACTACCTCTGCGTGGTCATGAGGTGTCAGGGTGTGTCCCAACCATGCATTGCATGGAACCGGGGGTAATGAAGACGGTTCCATCCCCACACATCCTCACAGATTGTAGCGGGCCCGCCTGGGAACAAAGCTGGCTCATGCATGATGAAGTTGTTTTTTCAGGTTGGTGGGTTCTAGCAATGAGAACCCAGGACCAAGCACATTATGGCTGCATCCCCCTTGAAACATGCACTTGGGGCGGGGGGCGGGTAGTTCAATTCTCCCTTCCTTAGCGATGGCTAGCATGGAAATTGGTGACCCCTCCCCCTTAAGGATTTTCAAGGTGGGGGGGGGGGGTGTACGATAGCTATGGTTCAAGGTGTGCGACCTCAGCCCTGGCCTACGCTTGAAACAAGTCAGAGGATGGGTTGCTGCAAGGTAGCTAACGAGGGAAACCAAAAGGAACGCCACCACTTTTTGGGGTACCCCTGTTGTGACAGACACACACACACACTCATACGTTTGGAGGACTCTTCGTTTTAGGGACCCCCATTCTCGGGTTACATGTCAATTTGCAGCGCCGTATGCTCTTCTACCAATTTGCCAAGTTTTTGCAGGGCAAGACCCTTAAATTTGCGGGCGCCTGCGCGGCTGTCTCTGTCTGTGTCTGTGTATGTCTTTGCGTGTCTTTGTGTGTCTTTGTGTGTCTTTGTGTGTGTGTGTCTGTGCGTGCGTGCGTGCGTGCGTGCGTGCGTGCGTGCGTGCGTGCGTGCGTGCGTGCGTGCGTGCGTGCGTGCGTGCGTGCGTGCGTGCGTGCGTGTGTGTGTGTGTGTGTGTGTGTGTGTGTGTGTGTGTGTGTGTGTGTGTGTGTGTGTGTGTGTGTGTGTGTGTGTGTGTGTGTGTGTGTGTGTCTTTGTGTGCGTGTCCGTGTGTCTTCGTGCGTGTGTGTGTGTGTGTGTGTCTTGGAATGTGATGCAATGTAATGTAATGCAATGTAATGTGTAATGCAATGTGTAATGTGATGTGCTGTAGTGTGATGTGATGTGATGTAATGTAATGTACACGAATGTATGCTCGGTTCGCATCTGTGCATGTGTGTTTGTGCGCGCGTGTCCAGGGACACATGTGTTTTTCTTGTGAGAATTCCATTTTCCTGCGCTTGTGCTGCTCAAAGAGGCAGGCAGGTGCCCTTGGAGTCTCGCGGGCAAGTATGCTATCGTGTTCACAATATATTTTCCGGTGACGTGGTTGGGCCCTTGGATCCATGCCAGGCCTCCCTCGACCAGAACATGCTGGACTTGGTGGACCCCTATAACAAAGGCGGGGAGTCCGTTCAGCCAGATCTGGCCTGTACCCCCCTTGTCATTTGAGAATATGGTGAAACCTCCCAATGAAATTATTTGCGACCTCACCTTTGATGGAGAGTCCTGTACAGGACCCTTTGAATAGGGAGTCAAGTCTCAGGTCAGGTACGCCGATTTTGTCGAACACTATTTTTGGGGCCGTACAAAATGGCTTGAGCAAACGATACTCTCATTTTGTAGAGGTTGCGCATCTCTTGTGTTCTCAGACTCGTATTGAGGGTCATGTTGAGGGATTCTGCCTGGTTGTGTCGCTTTGTAGTCACTTTGTAGGCAAGAGGTTTGGTGAGCGTGGCATGTTGTAGGGAGAGAGCTCGTGCTTCATGCATGTTTCGTACGCCCATTGCCATTTGGAACATTGGCAGGGCTCAGAACAACGCGCCCACTACAAAACGAATTTGGGATTTGAAGCCGGCTCCAATGAAATAGATCCTAGCTTCCAAATCACATCATTTGTTTTGCGACCACTGGGGGGAAAAATCAAAGAGCCTCCTCGCCCGAACGCAGTCATTTGGCAGGCAGCAGCCCTCGTACCCCCTGCCATTGTAGACTCTTTAGCCGCCCGCTATTTGTTTCAAAAAGGCGGTTCCAACCCCACCTCCTCAATACAAGGAGGGATGCCTTTTGTCGTTTGGTGAAGTACCGGTGTTTTCTCCAGGCAAGGTGTTCTTCATTAGCATGGGTTTTTGCCGAGCCCCGAGCCCGCTGACATCCCCCAACCAATTCTGTCCAAGTTAGCTAGCATGCCGAAATCCAAGACCATTTCAAGTAAGAATGTTTCTAGCATGATTCTTGGCCCATTCAAGTGGTGCCTCTACTTCGGCCATGCCTCACGGCCAAGGCGTGGTGCGTTACGCGGATTTCGCCTGGCTGCACGTGCGGCTGTGAGGGGGCCTAGGTGGTTCGGGCAAAGCCAGGCTTGGCATGACAAATGTTGGCAGGCTTCCACTTTTTGACTAAGGGTAGACTAAACCCAGGAGTTGTCCTTTTGGGGTAATGAACCACCTAAGTTGAAGTCTACCCTGGGGTAGTCAAAAAGTGGAAGCTTGAATGTTGAGGCTTGATTATTGGCGGTCACCCCAGCCTCCACAGCAGCAAGCTTGATCCAAGAACTGAACACCAACAGGTCCTTTGCAGGTTTTGACTCGTGAGCTGCATCGCTGCGAGGCTCGATGGTTTTTTGGGCACTTTCTGACACAAGGTCTGGACGGGGGTTGCCTCCTCCCCTAACTATATAACAATGTTGCCCTCACAGCCCCATTTGGGGGCGGGGTCCTTCTTTTTCTTTTTTACACAGCAACAGGTTCACCCCAAGCCCTAAGCTCCGAGCTAGTGGCTGACGGTCCGTACATGGGCGAATTGCATTCGGTTTCTAGCTTAGGCTTCCCTCCAAAGAGATGAGCTCTGCCCCGGCTTCTTATGAATCCCCTGCTAAAATGGCTTGAAGGGCCAATCTGCAGTTCTTTATGCAAATTCATCCTGTGCGTGATGTTGCCAGGGGTCGGTCCTGTTGAACCTCGCAGCCCAACAAGCAAGCTCTCTCCAACATGGGGCACAAGATGATGTTTGACCCCCAGCCGCCAAACGGACATGTCGTCAAAATGTGATGTTTGACCTTGAGCCCCCCTTAAGTTATTGAGGGACATGTAGTCAGATGTTTGCCCCCCCAACCTCCTAGGGAAATGAATAAGGCAAGGGCCACGGTTTTGCCCTTGCCGAGGATTCATTACAGCGGCCGCCCAGCGACCATCTTAGAAAAGGTGCAGAGCTTGGGGGCCTATCCGCAGCAGGCAGGGCTTTTCGTCAATCCGAAACCCGGGCCTGCGCGAAAACGCTTAGGTTGGTGCCAGGGGCGGGTGGTGAATTCACCCATTTGTCAGGTGGGTTCCCCACTGAATGTGGTCAACCACAAAAGGGGCTGGCTACACCGAACTATGCAAATGGAACTTGCTTGAGGTGTACCAAGCTTCAATTTATTAAGAGTTGTTGTTCTTTTCACCCATTGATTTTAAAGAGAACATATCACTACTGGATTGTTTGGCCAGAAGTGAAGGTTCAAGCAAGTGGAACTAAGTTGGTAAGGATAGCTGGGGAAATGCTTTCCCAGCCGTGATGCGTAAGGTGGGGCCAATCAAACGTTTGAAGGGTCCAATTGGCTTTTGACTTGCACCCATACTGCCATTCACTAGATGGACAACTTCCTGCACCAGTGGGTAGATGGTTGGTCCCAGAATCCATCCCAACTGGTGCGAAATAGATTTCATCCACCCAGCATATTGCTAGTGCACAAATCCCCAACTAAATGATGCCCACCAAAGGGTCCCCAATTAAAATCCAGACCCATAGGAACAAAGGCGTTTTGAATCTTTCTTCCATGGCCGCTAGGCCCTGCGACGAACCTGCAAACAGGGCAAGGGGCAACTTCCCGTTCGGGGGCCGGGCTGCGATGACACGACGTGGCCGCATTCGGAAGGGAGCCAAGGAGTCGGGATATCCAAATTTGCTCTGAAAGAGGGAGCTAAGGGAGCTAAGGAGCTACAAGTCTGTAATGATACGATATCAGAGTTGAGTTTCAAGCTAGTTGCCTGCTTTTCAGCAATCATTTGCCCTCGATGTGTGCTTGAGAATGTCACAGGCCCGGTTGGGTTGAAACTCAAGTTCAAGCGTTGCCACATCAAACAAGAGGCACCACCATTTTACCTCAGAGCTCTGGTGGGTTGCTTCCCCTTTCCTTTGTCATGGGGGTCCCTTTAAACTCCACTAACAACAAGATGCCTTTCCCCTTTGCCATCCTTTTGCCCTTTAACATCAACTATCAGACATCTCTTTTCTTTTTTCGTATTCGCTTTGCCACATGGAACTCCACTGTGGACCAAGGCCAAAGGAGTCAAACCCGACTGCATTCCACTGGATGCCGGAGGTAAGGGGCAACAGAATGTGTTTGCCCCCACTAAACTATATGACTAAATGTGGTTTTAAAAGTACCCTGTAACTCCCCCCCATTCTGACAACATTATTTTTGGCTTTATATTGCCCAAACCGAGAGATCGGTCGTTTGCCAGGTCTTCCGAAAGTTCGACGTGGATCAAGACAACCACCTGGACAAGGCGCAGGGGGGGAGGGGGAAGAATTTGCCATGCTAAATGGGCGTGTAACATGGGTGTTTTCCAGCTGGCTTTCCGTTGAACCAACCCCACATAAGGTAACATCAAACAAAGACACCCCAAAAATGGTGTGTCTTTTGGAGGGTTTTTTGCATTGGGCTTATGTTGAAGGCAAACTCAGGCCAAAGGAGACACCCACCCCTATTTCAGGAACCATCAATAGACAAGCTCCAAAGGAAGCCAGGGGGCGAGCAAGCCCCCCTATTGACCCGGGCAGGGTGACCTCCAAAAAGTTAATTCAGGCAAGCCTTACTCGGTAGTTTGGATTGGTGGCTTGCGGGTTTGACCCCGGCCACCCAACCTCCAAACCACGCGTGAGGCTAGTGTTTGCCTGCCCCTGAGTTCCTAGAACATTGTTTACCTTTTGGGAAGACTGTTTTTGGCAAGAAGCGAGTTTCGAGCTCGCCTGGCATGAAAGTGTTTTACCAAGGATTCCGAAAACTTTCAGCTTGTCTTCCGCAGTGAAAAAGAAGGAGCCACTGGATTGCAGGTTTGGCTTCTTTTGTTTTACAAACTGGGGGTTGGGGTTCCCGATGTTTGAGCAGCAATTTGCGCACTGGCTGAAGTCCATGGTGCCAACATGTGCCAACTGGTTCAACGGGGAATGAGGAAATCACCCATGAACCATCCGGGTCCCTATCTATGGTTTTCTGGGCGTTCAACGGTTCATTGTCGGACTTTGCCTGGATGGTTAATGTTTGTCAGGCCACCAGGGTGCGCTTCACCCAAGAAACCGGGCCCAGGGGAGCCTTTGCAACCTGTTAGTGACTACTGTCTGCCATGGCCACTGAGGGCTACGGAGGGTCATTCCCTCCCAGGGCTCCCCTTAGAATCAGTAGTGGATTCGTGCCTGCACGTCGTGTCAGGCGGAGTGGCAGGAGTATGCCTCCAGTGACACGCTCAGCTTCAAGCATCAGTGCCCTGCCTTCTGTGTGAAATGCGCTCGTTGTGAGCGTGTAGGCACGATTTCGTTTGTTTCGAAGCGAAAGCCAAGAACAATCCATGCTGTTAATGCTGTTGGATCTGTTGCGAAGTGCCTTTTCCTGCAGTGTTTGAAGGGTACGCAGATAGTGGTCAACGCCAGAAATGTCAACCTAGCCGCATGTTTCTTTCTGTCAGGGTTTGCAACTGAGTTCTTTGAATTCCACAAGGCTCTTCTGCCAGATGGGTTGCGTGGTTTCCCTTGCCGTTGTGGTATCACTTGGGCTATGGATCGGAATTGTGGATCCCCCAAATTTTGAAACAGCCCGGCCTTCTGGAACAATCGCTCCCGTTTTCCCATAGCCAATGGCTAGAGGTTTCGGCTAGTGAACCCAGAGCAGCAGGCGAGCACTTCCTGAAGCTCGAGCAACTTCTTGTTCTCAGCAGGGAGGAAGGGAAGGGATTGAGGGAATGCCTGCTACGAACTCTCCTTTCGGGTTCCTTTAAGGGCATCCCAAAGTTCATTTCCAATACGCGCGCGGCTCTCCACGGAGAAGCGGCGAGACTGACCGTAGTGCAGGCTGAATCCGGTGATCAATTTGGATCAGCAAGCACCCTATGCTGCCCCAAAAAGGTTGGCCCAGCTGACATCGGGCAATTTGACTTTGCATCGAAACACGGACGTGGAAATTTTCGGAAACAAAAACAGTGTGTTTCACAAGAACTTTTGCGAAGTTCCATGTAAAGCGGGAGGCTAACCCTTTGTCTTGCAACCCTTCAACCCGAGACAACACATAGTTCGCTGGCTTTCTTCTCGTCTGCGAGTTGTCGACGCCAAAGGTCAGCTGGACCAAGGGTGATCGCCTTTGCGCGTTTTTGGTTTGGCGAACTGAGGTTTGATAGCTGCAGGGCGCCCCAGAAGGAAGCCCAAAGCGAACGATTGGGAAGGGATGCGGCAGAATCGCGGGCCAATGGGAAGATGCATGGCCCGGCGCAAACTTGAAGTCTGGAATGGGCTACGTGGGAGATACTGGTTTTCGTTGAGCGATTGGAGGAAAGCGCGGCCCAGATGATGACAGGTATACTTGATCGCTGCACTCTCCAAAAAGGCCTGTTTCAATCAAGACGCTCGAATCATTTTCTTGGTGAGACGGGGGGGGGGTCCTGCATCATGTGGCCTGTGCTTCGAGAGTATTGAGACAACCAAGCAACCAACAGGCTAGCGAGCCAACAACAAAATGACAGTGCCGTAACGTTCTCCTTCGGACGGATGGCAAGTGTTTGAAGGAGTAGGGTCATCTCAACAAATCCACCAGCGGAACTCATTTGCCTATTCTATGCCTCATCTGGAGGCAACATAAGCTCAGCGTGACGAAGGCCCTTTATTTGGGGGTTATTAATCGGGGGAGGGGGGGGGTGGTTGGGAAGATTGCGTACAATACGGCGCAGTGTGTTGCGCCAAGGTTGCGGTACGCAAACCGTGCAACACACACACACACAAAGGCACAAAGGCACAAAGGCACGTAGGCACATGCGCACAGACACAGGATAGACGCAATCCCGGGCATATGCGTCTTTTTTTATGCTCCGCCGCACGCTCTCATTTGGTGCGCACACTGCAGAAAAAGATTTATGGTTGGGCCGGGAAGGTTGCTGCAACCAACAACAAACATCCTCCCAGACATTTTGCTTGAGCAGCCTGAATGGCCCAACCACATCGGCGGCTGCAGAAGGCTGCGAAAAGATTGCCACACCAGCATTGCTAGGTGATGAACATCTCTCGGCATCACAAGAACAAAACTGTGTGTGAGCTAAATATATCCAGCCACCCACATATCTTACCAGCGTGACCTGTTACATCTCGTGCAAATGTGCGACGTGAAGCTGTGAGCCACACAAGGAAGCCAGAGAGCGCCAGCTACGCAAACGCTTTAACAAGAGGCAATTCCCCTACAGAGCGTGCAGAAGCTGACTTTTGATTTGCCAGAGACAAGAGGCAATTCCCCTACAAAGCGTGCAGAGGCTGACTTCCCATGTGCCCCAAAGAGAGACAATTGCATAGAAATTCTTCTTGTTCTTAGTGTTGTCCTGGCAGCGTCAAGAACATAGCCGTCAAGTGCTTGGTGCAGTTCTTGACCCGTTTAGCTTGGCGCGTGCGAGGCGGGCCTGCGGAAGCGCACTCCTGCTGCGCTTGCCCCTGGCGCCCGCTCCAAGGTGAATGGAGTGCGCTTCCGCATGCCTGCCGCAGGTCGCTTTAGACCTCGGGCAGCTTGAATGGCCTCCTGTTCCATCTGCCGCTGAGCAGCCAGGGGCAAACTACAACGCCCTACCGCCCCGCTTGCGTGCTGCTCAGCCACCCACGATGACCACATCCTCGTTGTCCACAAGGGCGTCCCCACCCGTCGCGCTAAGACATGCCCAGCCGGCATTTGCTTGGCGGTGGGGCTGTGTAGAGCAACGTGGTGGGGCAAGAGCTTGGCCAAGTGCAAGATGTTGAGCTTAAGCTGCAGAGTGCTACGATGCAGCTGCTGGACCTGGCGAAAGGCTGCGTTAAGCTCCGCATGCAAGGCCTCATTCCCCGTGGTGCCAGACGGAAGCAGCACTAGCGCAGCCGACGTCATGGACGTCCGGAGCCGCAAGTTGTTGAAGAGCCACTCGAGCCGATCAGCGGCCGTGAGGTGATAGAGAATTTTGCCCACCGTCTCCCGGGTACCTTCGATCTTGCGCTCCAGGTCCTTGGAGTGCTCCCGCGCCAGAGCAGCCACGGCCTCGATGAACTGAATCCGTGTAGGCCAGGCAGCACCGAGGCCAAGACGTGCCGAGCCCGCCGCAGCCCCAGCGTGCCCTTGATGATGTGCTCCCGTAGGGCGTTCTCCGGGGCACTTAGCCGCGCCGGCAGCGAGCCGTCGTAGGGCGCCCCCCAAATGTTAACAGCCAGCGCGTTGTCCCTCGGGCAGAACTTGGCCAAGAATTTCCGCAGAAGTGCTGACCCAGCTGTCTTCCGGCCGTTGGTAGCTTGCTCGTAGTGCATGGCGGCGTGCGTTCCATCAAGCACCAGCGCCTGAAGATTTGGTAGAACTGCTTGGAGCTGCCCCATCAGCTTCGCAGAGGGGCAGTCGGACGCCACATACTTGACACGCTGCAGGGCTTCTGCTGGAAGAGCATCCACGACACACGAAACAATATGCTCTGCGCGTTCTCCGATGGCAGGCGCCAAGCCCAGCACTGCCCCGCTCCTGCCCCGGATAGTGATGACACGCCGGAAGCTATCTTCGTCTGTGAATGGCTGCGCTGCTCGTTCAGCGGCTGGTGCGTTGAAGGAAGCTTGGCCCATCAGCATCATGCAAGCTCGGAATGTGCCATCTATAGATAAATACTCATACTCGCCGTGCTTATTCGCAGTGCTAAGAAGGTTCTGCTTCAAGGCGACACACGCAGGCGATCGGAGGATATCTTCCACCAACGGCCACCAAGTCGCAGTGTGGCCGGGCAGCAAGTTGGTCAGCACGTTACCAGCGCTGACTGAATCAAGCATGAGACGTGGCCAGACTGTCTTCACCTCAGGGATGCGTGGGATATAGTTCGTGCGAAATTAACATCGATCTAGTTGCTACTCCGGTCCAGCCTTGGCGTGCTGCAGCAAGATCTCCTGGAAGAGGCGCTCTGCGAAGGCGCGGGTGTACCAGATCTTGCCGACCCTGCGAGCGATAGTGCCCTTGGCTAGGACGGCCACGTTCATGAGTGTCGGGCCTCCGGCATCGAGCACCAATCGGAAGCCTCGATCAATGTTGTTGTTCTTGATGGGAAGCCCAGGCTTCACAAGCTCGCGGATCACCTTCGCGCTTCTTTCCAGGTACCGGCCACCACGGCTCTCAGCCAGCATGTCCGTGTCGTGGATGGAGAGCAGCACCCGCAACTGCTTTGTTCCAGAACAGCAGAACCGCTGCTTCTCGGTGTGGTAGCGTCGGAGGTGCTGAGCCACGCGCGAGCAATCGCGGAAAGCTCGAAAGGGGCAAGCCGGGCAGCGGTACATTCCGCCCACGCATTTCAGGGACCCGCGCCCTGCCCGGGCGATGCATGTCAGCACCTCTTGGCGCAATTCTTGCAAAAGCAACGCGTCCACCGTCACCACACCGTCAGCATCCAGCCAATCAACGCCCGTCTCCTCGCCAGCATCTTGCCCCAACCCCATCCGGTCGACATCCATCGAAAAATCCACTTCTCCCACGGCGCCCGCAGCCATGTCCAGGAGCTGAGAGACTTCTGCTTCAGAAACGGCCAAGAAAAGACCGTCCGCAGGCTGCTCCAGCACATAAAAGACGCAGGTCTTGCTATCCACTCCATCGGAAAGGCATCGCCGGAAAGCAGAGTCTGACAAATGAAGTGCGCAGTCAGTGTCCCACACGGTCACTTCGAAGGCTCCTCGGACCTCACGCCTATGCACTGCCACACAATGCGGACTGCCATCGTTCTCAGCATGCAGAAGAAATTTTCCGACCGGCAAGGCGTCGATGAACACAACCGGATGCAGAAGACACCCAAAGGCCGCCGAGCATTGCTGGTAGGTGCGACAGCCCCGCTGCTCCATGTACACATTCATCTGCTCTGTGGTGGCATCCAATTTGCTCTTGCCCTCCTCTGACAAAGAGTCCAGGCACGCGAGTGCGTGAGGGATACAGTTGCCTGATGTAGTCAATGTGGTGCCAGCCTCAAACCGCGGAGGGCCCTGGCGTGTGGCAGCACCCCGCAGCAAGGCCATGACAGCTGCGTGGTTTTTTTCTCGGATCCGCAGCTTGAAAATTGTTAAAACCCTCTAGGCCCCGTGCCGAAATTGGGTAGCTGTTCTGAGGTCCTTGTTGGTGTTGCTTCCCAAGTTCCATTGATCGCCATTTGGCTCAAGACACAATTGAGGTTCAAGATCTGATGTGTGACTGCGAACATTCGTGACGGGCGATAAGAGCAAAACAACTGCTTGCGCCGCTTTTGTCAGGACCACTGGTGTGATTATCATTCCTTCTTCCTTACAACGTTTACACGGGTTCGGCTATAACGGCATCGTCCGTATACACCTTTCTACGTGGTTGGTATTGAAGCTTGAGGGTTCGGTGCACAGCGTCCCACGGGACGTCACCTTGCCGTCTCTTGACAGGTTATCAGCCGTAACTACAAGCTCTACACTGGACTGGGAGACAGCTGGTTTATTGCGGGTACAGGGACAATAAAGGAACGATAACATACACAGTACAATGGCGTCTTCGGCGAGCCCAAGTACTGCAACTTTTGGGAACAGCAGCTCAGAGGGATCCAATGGATTGATGGCTCTTCCTGCGGTGATGGATATGATTGCAGATTCACAGGATGAACCTGGGAGCGGAGGTTCCGCGCTATTCAGCGACATATCTACTCCCACAAGATCATGGAAGCAGATCGATGTTCATCAGGAGTCGAAGAAAAGAGAATCCCCACCGAGAAGATCATCATCTTCGCCTGCGACACCACGGACGTCGCAGAAGGGCGTGAGATCGACATCGAAGGGTGGGAGGTCAAAATCACCCACCAGTGCAGATTTTCGCGCCGTGATCAAAGAGAAGAATAAGATGGAGGTGGAGATCGGGGAATATCAGAAGACACTTGATGAAATGTCGGCAGCAATGGCGAATCTTAACCAAGAAGACTATGGAAGCACCATCCGGATCCAGGAGCTGGAAAGACGATGCGAGATTGCCAGCAAGCAGTCGGGACATCTAGTGAGTCACCACCAACACCACATGGCTGAGGCATGGCGCAAGTTTGAGGAAGAAGCCCAACAGATGCGCAAGGTGGAAATGAACGCATTTCAGTACGGGGAGAAGAAAGACATGGAGTCGAATATTATGATGCAACAGATGAGGCAAGCTGAAGGAACTATCATGGAGCAGAAGCGGGAGATTGCATTGATGAGATCCTACATGGCAAGCGAGAAGTCGGCCGCGCAGGAATCAGCTATACGTGCAAATCAGATAC